TAATAACATTTAAACTAATTTATGAATTACTTTCATATGTGAAACCATATTATATTTATATTTAGTGCTAAACTGACAGCCCTTCACATCACACGCTATGTCTGGTCCCGAATGAAACACCATATGTTTGGTCAGACCTGCTGTGGTCTTAAACCTCTGGTCACATGCGGGCCAATGACAGGCGTGCGGCCGATCATTAGTGTGTCGCCGGCGGTGAGACCGCAATAAGTCTTGATTGGCGGACCTGTAGTCACAACCGGGCCATTCGCACGACAATGACTTGACGGCCGTGTGTCTCAGGCGGTGCACATTAAGCAATGCCTGTGAATGCGTCCGGTGCTCACATCCGGGCCAATCGCACCGATACTTACTGGTCGAGTGCACGCCTTTCATGTGTGACCACAAATTACTGCAACTATTGAAAGCTCGACCGCAGCCCTGTTCGGGGCACCGATGCTTTCGGACAACACCCGAGTGGGCACTCAGTTTGTGTGACATTAAATTTTTCCAAAATTTAAACCGTTTGCCGCAGTTTTGGTAATCGCACGCAAACACCCGGTCCGTCATATGAGTCTCTCTATGATTAATGCATTGGGTTTTGTTGGGAAACTCTTGGCCACAGCCCACACGAGTACACGCGTAGAGTCCAGTGATCTGTGATCTGATTGGTTCCCGAAGTCTCTGTTTAAATAATTTTTTTGCCCGTTCATCGAAACCACAGGTGATCTCGTGGTCTGAGAGCAGATCCGGTGACGCGAAGTTCTTTTCGCATTTTTTGCATTTGTATTTCAAGTGAATGTCATTCAAATGGNGGTCTGAGAGCAGATCCGGTGACGCGAAGTTCTTTTCGCATTTTTTGCATTTGTATTTCAAGTGAATGTCATTCAAATGGCGGTGATATTCATCGGCGGTGCGGAACCGTTGACCACAATCAGGATATATGCATTGATTCGACACATGCGGGCGATGGACGACGGGTGTTGTCTTCGACAGACGCTGATTGGTTGATGGGGTCGGCGGACAATTGGTTTCATGTTTTGCGAGTGACTCTTCGGTGACAAACCTCTGGTCACATGTATTGCATCGGAGTTTGCAGTGAATGTCATCCAAATGTTTGTGATATTCTTCCAGAGTTTCAAACGATTGGTTACACGATGTGAACGAACACTGAGTGAAGCACTTCGTCGAGACCTTCTTCGGTGGACACAACTCCTTGTGAACCGACAATTGTTTCTCTGTTTAAAAACTCTGTGAGTACTTGCGATACAAGTAATTGTTAACACGTTTACCTGTTTTACCACTCTTTGCCTGCGATGTCGATGGCTTTTGTGGACATTCCTTGTGATGATTTGAAAGCAACTCTTGGGTTACGAAACCGGTATTACAGACATCGCATCGATATATGCAATGAATTTGATCCCAATGTTTGAAACATTCCTCTTGAGTATCAAACAAGTGGTCGCATGAATTGAATATACACTTGAATTGACGTG